GTGGCTTGAGTCCCCCTCCCGGCTCGGCTCCATGGCGGGTCCTGCCTGTGGGCGCTCCTGCCCCCGGCCCTGCTGCCCAGCACGTGTCCCTCTGGGCCTGGCAGGGAAGGGACAGGTTCAGGACCGGGCCTCATGGCAAAGTCCTCTGTCTCCCATTGCCCCTTCCCAGCCCGGCCTGCCCAAACAGCCAGCCCTGTCTCCATCCCTTCCTCTATCCTTTTCTTTTTTCTTGTCTCCATCCCTTTGTCCATCCCTTCCTCCATCCCTTTCTTTTTTCCTGTCTCTATCCCGTCCTCCATTCCTTTCTCCATCCCTTCCTCCATCCCTGCCCCTCTCGCCCTGATTTGGTGCCGGACGCTCCCACGGACACATCCGTGGTACCCGGCCCAAGGATAGAGGGCCGAATGGATGGGCTGCAGCTGGCTGGGATTAACCGTTCCCGGCTCCCGCGTCACCCGGCGCGGCGCCGCCCGGGGCTGTTGCCACGAGGCCCTAATCCCCCTCGGCCACTGTTTAAAGAAGAGCCGTGGTGGCAGCTCCGTTCCAAGCCAGGCCCTGGGCTGGGGGGCCTTGACGCCGCCAAAAGCACCGGGGAAAAACTGCCGTCTTTGGGATGGGGATGGTGGCCGAGCAGCTCGGGGGAGCAGGCAGCGGGGGGCATCAACCTGGCGTCACCAAGCCCCCCCCACGGCACCTATCTCTCCAGGACGAGCATGTCCCTGCCTGTCCCCATGCTGCTGGGGGACATGGTCCTGTGCGTGGTGTCCTCTGCAGCCAGGACACCCCACGGGGCAGGGGACACTGGCACCCGCAGCCACCTGCAGTAGCTTTCTCAGCTCCAGCTGTTTCTTCAGGACACCCTGTGTCCCTGCGCGGGTCCCCTGTGCAACTGCCTCTTGCACCCAGCCTGGGGACAACCCCCAGGACTTCACCCTTGGCAATGGGGGGGGGTCCCTGTCCCCCGCACGAGCTCCCACCTCAAGCCCTGGTCGGTGGTGAACGCAGCAGCTGCCAGAGCATCCAGATCCCCTTTGCCTCCGGCACCGGCCTCAACGTCATGGAGCTGCAAGGGCCGGGCCGGCCACCCCCTTTGTGGCCCTCTGCAGCACAGGCCAGCGGGCCCTGGCACTCATCAGCGCCCAGAACTGCTCCCTGAGGCTGATTCCAGCACTGGGACGGGGCCAGGGATTGCAAAACCCTGGGCTGGGTCTACGGCCAGGCTTGAGCGAGTGGGGAGGAAGATGGGAGAGAGAGAGGGAGTCTGTGGGATGCGAGTGCGGAGCGCACCGGGAACAGGTGGAGAACGAGATGGGCCTGAGCGGGGAGCACACACGGAACCAGGCGGGAGCCCGCCAGGAGCGGCCCAAGCACGCCGGGAAGGCGTCGCGGGCGCTTTCGGGACGCTGGGTCTACGGCCAGGCTTGAGCGAGTGGGGAGGAAGATGGGAGAGAGAGAGGGAGTCTGTGGGATGCGAGTGCGGAGCGCACCGGGAACAGGTGGAGAACGAGATGGGCCTGAGCGGGGAGCACACACGGAACCAGGCGGGAGCCCGCCAGGAGCGGCCCAAGCACGCCGGGAAGGCGTCGCGGGCGCTTTCGGGACAGGAGTTGGGTCTTCCCGGCTGCAGCGCCAGCCTAGCTCAAGGCCTCGGGAGACACCAGCCAGGGCCTGGCTGTCCCCTCCCTACCCGCAGCGCCCCGAGAGGAGCCCCGTGTCCCCAAGGCAGCAGCTCTTGCGGGGGCATTGGTG